GGAGATTTCCTAAATAATTGGTATACCAATTAGCTAATTTTTCTTCAGATGTACTGTTTCTGGTATTTAAGTCATCTGTTGTGTTCTTAATTTCAGCTATTACAATTTTCATCCCTAATTTTACTTGATTTCTTTTGTGTTTCCTTGTTCTTGTTTCATATTGGTAATATATCATACTAGTCATAACTTTTTCATGTTTTAAGTTCGTGGTTCATTTTTCCTAACATTTGTTCTCTTCAGATCTATAACTCATTGTTTATTTTATCCTCAAATTCTCGGTTTAGAGCTCTGAGCTTATTTTTCCTGGATCTGTTGGCTATTCCAATCCATTAGACAGTATGAGTGAGGGGAGGCCAGACACCCCAGCTTTCAGGAAGTTGACTGGGTGAGATCCCTAGGCTCCTGAAAGTGAGAGCTAAGCACTTCACATTCCATAAAACAACTCTCAGGTCAACTCTTCCCATTTTGTCCCTCGGAGAGGCGCAGTATTAGTAGGAGACGCTCCTTAGATTGTAATCCCCAACCCTGGATTCATGGAGGTTGAGGGCTGCAGAGATCAGTTGGTTCTTACCTCTTCTTCTCAGTTCCTCACAAGCACAAGGCTTCTGTACTGACCTTATTAACTCATGAGGACAACTAAACAAGTAGTTTGAGCCCCCCACAGCTTTCACTGTTTCAGTGTATATTTGGCCACTCAAAAATAAGTTCCTTAAAGTCTGTTTTATCTGATATTAATATAAATACATCACACCCTATGGGTGTGGGGGAAGATGCTGATACCCAAGGCACTGGTGGACCCTTTTGTTTATTCTCCCACAGCCATGAGGGACTGTGTTTGGTACAGACACTACTACCACATAGACTAGTTCAAAACAGTCACCCTGCCTCTCCACCCACTCCTGTCCCTCTTCACTCACTTCTCTCCCCACTATCACTCTGGGAGTTTCTCATTCCCCCCACCCCCATTTTCCATCTGTGCTCTTCAGGGACTGATTTTGGGAAAGCAGCCAGAGTTTGGAGTCAAACTAATTCAGCATCTTGATCCCAAAACAAATTTCTGAGGTCACATTTTCCATTCAAGTAAACAACTCTGACCTACTGGCTTCTCAATCCCAGTTAAGAATTCCTGAGAGAAAGAATCTGATTGGCAGAGATGGGGTTTATGTAGTATAGTGTTTAAAGGGTTGTATGACCCAAGCATCTGGGTATTTTAGCTGTGTAGATAAGCCAGGCTACCCTGTACCCTTGAGCACCTCCCTATTCTCTTTTTTCCTCTTAAAAATGAGACAATGTCTGTGACTACTGAAATGGTATCATGAAGGTGAGGTAAATACCTGGTATCTTAAAGATACAGCCAGTCCCACAGTTTACTTTCAAGAGTTTTGGTTTCCAGCTATGAGTGAAAGATAAAATTTTAGTCAGTCTGAATAATACACATTTGGGTAATCCTGACAATAGAGTTTTGTTTTGTTTTGTTTTTTAATTAAAACTACTGACAAAATAATCTACTTCATTAAAATTAATAAAGAATGTATTATATATGTGTGTGTGTGAGTGTATGTGTATA